ACCCAGGCACCCCTATTATTACTTTTATAAGTAGGCCCTACACCCAACGTGGGGTTTGAATTCTCGAACCTGAGATCAAGAGTCACAGGCTCTACCTACTGAGCCAGCCAGGCACCCTTAGGATAAAAGTTATTTAGAGCTTTTGATGATGGGATCCTCTGTCAACAGTTAAAAACTTAACCAAAAAATTATACACCTGGCTATGAAGGGTGTTTGCATATGTCCAAACTCATAGAATTGCACACATGAAATATGCATGGTTCTTTGGTATCAATTATACCTCAATAAAGCATTTTCCTTTAAAAAGAAACCGAAACAGGGGTGCCTGGGTGGCTCAGTCGGTTAAGCGTCTGCCTTCAGCTCAGGTCATGGTCCCGGGGTCCTGGGATCGAGCCCCACATCGGGCTCCCTGCTCGGCGGGGAGCCTGCTTCTCCCTCTCCCTCCACTGTTCCCCCGGCTTGTGCACGTGTGCATGTGCGCTCTCTGTCGAATAAATAAATAAAATCTTAAAAAAAAAAAAAGAAACCCAAACAGAGGAAACAAAATGATGATGGAGAATAGATCAGATAACTACAAACAGGGCTTTACTGATTTAAATTATGCAGCCAGAACCATGGGCTCTCGAAACAAAACAAAACAAAACTTGGGTGTTAAAACCAAATAGTCCATGGAAATATCTCAAAAATAAAATGTACAAATAACTTTCCTTCAATGATGGGAGCCAATGATGGGTAAGTGAAAAATTTCAGTTATACCGTATGTGCTCATGGAAACACTAAATCTGAGCTAGTTCTCAAAACATTAGGTTTCCTGACTCTCCCCGAAATGGAGAGAGTCCGTAACTGCGCAGGTCCCCGGTGTGTCTCATGACATAATTGGTCATGTCTGGCCCCAAATACTCAAAGTTTGAGTGAACTCAGCTTCCCTTCTTGGATCTTAGGGAGGATGCCGAAGAAATTCCCTCCAACTTTCCCCTCTCCCTCTAGAACAGGGCTTTTCAAACTTGGCTACTCATTACGATCTGTCGGGGAGCTTTGAAAGATCTGGATGTTCAGGCCACAGCCAGACCAAATAAGTCGGAATTCGGGGGGTAGGTCCCAGGCACTGGTATTTTATAAAATGTCTTGGTGACGCCAATGTGCGGTCAAGGCTGAGAACCGCGACTCTCGCAAAACATAATTATTTTAAGATCAAATTTATACCAGCTCTCACTTTGCTTCAGAATGTTTTAAAGGCTGCCAAAATGTCATTGTTTGCAGGGACCACCAGCATTCAGACCATCTACAGATGACCACTGATGTCTCTTTGTATTAGTTATTAAAAATAAGAGGGGGCTAAATGCAATCGGATCTTGGAACAGAAAAAAAAAGGGCATTCGTGGAGACACCAGTAAAACTCAAATGAAGTCTGTAGTTTAGTACCAATAGTATCAGAGTTTACTAGTTCCCATGCTAATCTCTCAGTTTTGAAAAACGTCACACACTTTGTAAACTATAACAATTGGGGAAGCTGGGTGGAGGGTCTGCGGGGAACTCTGCTCTTTTTGCCAACTCTTGTTGAGTTTAATTATTTCAAAATAAAAAGTTAAAAAGTGAAATTAAAACAGGGGAAGCAAGTACTAACGCCGCAAAACTGCAGATTAGCCAACGATATTAAATATCCTGGGGCCCAGAGTTGTGCCTGGTGGATTTAGGCACTTTATTGAAGAATATAACCTGATGGTGTGAGAGAAGCTTAGAGAACCTTCCAATTTCCTGTCTTCCTTGTTTTTTTTTTTTTTTTTAAGATTTTATTTATTTGCGAGAGAGAGAATGAGAGACAGAGAGCATGAGAGGGAGGAGGGTCAGAGGGAGAAGCAGACTCCCTGCCGAGCAGGGAGCCCGATGCGGGACTCGATCCCGGGACTCCAGGATCATGACCTGAGCCGAAGGCAGTCGCTTAACCAACTGAGCCACCCAGGCGCCCCTCCTGCCTTCCTTCTGCTTTTATAGACCTCGTCTCCAGCCCCATCCAGATCCTACAAAATGTCATCAACAGCAGTTAGTACGAAAGGCCTTGCTGGCCATCGATGACCTTAAAGTCATCTAGTCTACTATAAGGAATCTGATACTGCTGGGGGGGATCGTACACTTGTTCAGTATTTTACAGCTCACGAGCCCTTTCCAAATGTTAGTCTTGTTTGATGTGCATTAGGAAATAGGCAAATCCACAAGGTACACCATGGGCTGTAATAAAAGATGGAACTTCGACTTCTTTTTATTATAGGAGGCACAGTGTTGCACCTGCATAAATCCCTCACCCACACACACCGCACATCATAGTACACACACACAATTTGAACACACGGCTATTAAAAGATTCTATATGTTGGGGGCGCCTGGGTGGCTCAGTCAGTGAAGCGTCTGCCTTCGGCTCAGGTCACAATTCCGGGGTTTTGGGATGGAGTCCCACATCAGGCTCCCTGCTCAGCGGGGAGCCTGCTTCTCCCTCTGCCTCCGCCCCCTCCCACCGCTAGTGCTTGCTTTCTCGCTCTCAAATAAATAAATAAATAAAATCTTTTTAAAGAAATAAAAGATTGTATGTGAGTCTGGCAGCGCCCAGAGTAAGGGCCAGAGGTGCCTATCGCAAGGCTAAGTGCTCTCTGACGCGCGACTACCAACCTAGGCGGGGCTCAGCTGCAGGCACAACTTCATGGTGGCAATTGTCCTCCTCCCTCCTACCAGGAAAAGGAGGAAAGTTCAGATGACCCACAAGGCCATCAGCCAACATCTGTTGGCCCCAGGGGTTGTCAGGCCACAACTGACTGGGCCCTGAGTCACGGCCACCCCTTTGTTTCTGTCTCCTTGGCTAGTCCCTTGGGGGCTCTGGTTCTTGATTTCTGCGGAGCCCCTGACACTAGCCAGGTCCCCGTGAGTCGGGCCCACCTGGCAGCTGCAGCCCTTGCCCACTGAGCTCCCATCAGCTTTTGCTGCTCTGACACTTGCTGGACGGATCCTCCCGCCTGGCCTGGGGTGAAGGGGACGAGGGTGGCCACACTCTCCGTGGACCCTGCCAGAGGATGGCTCCCATCCTCCCGTGACTTCCCCCCACAGAGCCCTCCACGCCTCCAGTTCCATCACTCAAGGGAGTAGGATGCTTCCTGGCAGCCTGGCCTCACACTCACGTGCTCAGGGGCACACTCATGCTTTCCTGGCCAGCCCAGAGAACTGGGAGCACTAAGATCGATGGCACACAGGCTGGGTTTTTTTGTTTTGTTTTTAAGCAGGCTCCACGCCAGCATGGAGCCCAACGTGGGGCTTGAACTCACGACCCTGAGATCAAGACCTGAGCTGAGATCAAGAGTCAGACGCCTCACCGACTGAGCCACCCAGGTGCCCTGAGGGTGACTTTCTACCTTACAGCCGATTCACTCTGGCCTGTGCTGTTCAGGCAGAGATGTGCAACATTCAGCAGGCGTATTTCTTCTTCGCTGGCCTGGGACAACATGCACATTCTTTGATTCTTGTTTATTCAAAAGGGAAGTCTAATTGGGGCTCATGCAGGGTGCACGGATCTTTTACAAGAGTAAACATACTCGGGCAATGTGAACAATGGGATATGATTAATTGAAACTTCTGGTTTCCTTCTAATTAGTGAAATGTATGACTAGCAATTTAGAGGGTTTAACCGTGATTCTCAGGGAAAGGGGTAGAAAACATCTACATCTGTGAATGTAGTTGCGATGTATATTTGTTTTAAAGCATTTATTTTCTTACTATGCTGGCTCCTTCCCACCAGGTTCCTCCAGCTCCCAGCCATGCTCACTGGCCCTACTTGTAGGCACAGTGATCATTCTAGACAAGGGCAACTCTCCTGCTTTCCTTCCTGCCCAGTTCCCGAGGCCGACCTGGCCCCTCCTGGCTCTCCTGAGGAAGACAGAGCTCTGCTCCCCACACCTGCAACCTGGTTACACCACCACGTGAAACGTTGCTAATTTAGAGGGCGAATGTTCCAGTTCATCCAAGACAGTCCTCATTTACGTGCCCTTTTACTCACACCGTCCCAGGGCAGACATCAATCAGATGGCCACCCTGCCCACTTGCAGCTCCTGAGGCTAAGTGCACCCGTGTGCAGGTACATCTGATGACCCTTCCAACTGTCCGATGTGGGCCCCTCCTGCCCTCGTGTCTGAGTCTGTCCTGCCTCGATGGCACCATCTTGATGGAGGGGGCACGCGCCCGCCTCCCCATACTGTCTTGTCCAGCCACTAACCTAACCATTCTCTTTAATATTCTAGGAAATCGTCTCTGTAATTCTAAGCATTTGGAAAGAGAGAGAGAGAGAGAGTGAGTGTACACAAAGGAAAAAAATTGTGAAACTTTTCCTTTTTGCATTTTATCTAGGAATCTGTGCAGGTATTCAACGTACTCTTTGGTAACAGTATATTAAGAAGGAAATTGAAATTTTAGCAAAGATATTCCTTGCCTGGGTCGCAAAATGCCACTTTATAGAGCCAAATTGAAAACCACTGAAAACAAATGTACTTTTCATCAGATGAATGATACGAATTTTCGATTTTTATATTCTCTTTCAGCCGAGACAGTGAAACTGCGCAGATACTTTCCATTTTGAGTTTATCATCAAATTCATTTCCTGTTCCTGTTACTTTAACATTGGAGAGAAATATTTAATTTCCATAAGTTTTCATTTAACTCTAATAGGAAACAAACCCATACAAAATCGACTTTAAAAAAAAAAATAAACATGTCAGTTCTGAACATGGACCTGCTTGATTATAAGAACCAGTTTACCTAATAATTTTATATGAGCATTGCCCTAATTATATCCTTTGGCTGTTCCAGGCATGATCACAAGGTCTTTGAAATTCAGACGATGAACCTGGACTGACCCTGTAGCACAGAACCCAAGCGGCCCGCTGAGTGCATGTTGACAGATGGGACAGCGCAATGTCAGGGTCTCACTCTCCCTGCAGGTTTGGAGGGCCCGTGGCGGCACTTACGTCTCATCTGTGAAGGCTATTCCAAAGTATTCCTTTTCCTTCAGATTGAAGTGAGAGGCCACGAGGTCCAGCAGCTCCTTGGCCAAAAGCTTGGGCTGGAGGGAGAGTAAGGGGGAAAAAGGACAAGTGAGTAGAAGTGACTTTTCCTAAGTCACGCAATCTCAGGTTGATAGAATATTTTAAATGGGATGTCAAAGCTCAAGTACATCAACACCCATGATTTTTGGAAAACCCACAGGAGTAGGCAACGAGGACGCCTCCGAGCAAAAAGCCAAGCACAGGGTGACGAACAGGTGGAGACCTTCCGCCTTGTTGCCCTGGTAGTTTGTTCTAGAACAAATGGTACCTGCTCTTTGGCAAGGCTGTCAAGCCCTCCGGCTCTTCTTCCCCACACAGGAGAACATTTTATGCTGCACCAACAGGAAGATGCCTTATGTGGATATATTTTTATGTATATACACGTAATATATAGTCACATAGTATGTACTACATGTCACACCCTGGTCTAAGCACTAGTAATATACAAATACCAGAATCTCTGCTCCTCATCACAACCCCAGGAGGTGCTCCTGTTATTAACTGTCATATGGGGCAGAACCAGGCACCAGAGATGAAGCAAGTGTTGGGACTGGGATTTGAATCCTTGCTCCAGAGACTCTGCCCTTGACCACTCTATCCACTCCATAATTCTGAATACAAACATTAAAAGTACCCTCCTCCAGGAATGTTAAAATTAAGGCCAAAGAACCTTGGGATCGGAATTTAAGCATAAATGACAAATTCACCCTCCAGTTGCCTTTCCAAAGGAGAAGAACAGTCTTTATGTGAGAGTGTTTTTATCATAAACTCTTTTTAAAACACCTTTGCCAATCTAAAGGAGTGTGCCAGAGATTTAGGCATGAAACCACTGTCGAGGTCCGTATTTTTTTTTTTTTTTTTTTTAAGATTTGAGAGAGACACAGCACGAGAGGGAACACAAGCAGGGGGAGTGGGCGAGGGAGGGAGAAGCAGGCTTCCCGCGGAGCAGGGAGCCCGACGCAGGGCTCGATCCCAGCACCCTGGGATCATGACCCAAGCCAAAAGGCAGCTGCTTAACTGACTGAGCCACCCAGGCACCACGACAGTTTAATGTCTTATTTCACTTTCTGAGTGTTGCTATGAACCACACTGAGTCCCCTTCCAAAACTGTATGTTGAGGCCCTAAATCCCCTCTGTGGTGGCATTTGGAGATGGGACCTTTGGGAGGGGAACTGGGGTTAGATGAAGTTATAAGGGTGGCGCTGTCACGAATGGGATCAGTGACCTTACGAGAAAAGACACCAGAGAGATTGCTCACATTCTCCCTCTCCACCATGTGAGGACACAGGGCCAAGTCAGCCGTCTGCAAGCCAGGAAGAGGGCCCTCATGAGAACCCACCCAGGTTGGGCACCCTGGTCTCGAACTTCCAGCCTCCAGAACTGTGAGAAAATAAATTTCTGTTGCTCAAGCCCCCCAGGCTGTGATATTTTGTAATGGCAGCCCAACGTGACTAATTCAGGTACACTTCCCTTTAATTCAACAAATATTTACCGACTGTCTAATGTGTGCAGGGCACCTAGCCAATCCTGCAGGACACAGAGAAATAAGTGGCACATAGCACCTGCCGATAAGGAGCGCTTATCAGGGGCACAGCCTACAAGCTCATGTTCATTTTAAAATGCCAAAGCAGATAGTTTCCTTTGCTGTCTCACTCCCGGGCTCACAAGGTAGCCGGGTCTGGGCCTCCATGACCATCAGTTTACCAATAAAAGCAACTGGAAACGACAGGACTGGGCTTGAAGCTAGGGCAGAGCGTCCTCTCCCTGGAAGCCGGAAATCAACAGGAGAATCTATTATGATAAACTAACACTATCTAATATATTATACTTCTGCTCATGCTAAAATGTGAAAAGGTGAATAAGTAATCCCTGTAACCAACAGGGAATTCAAGATTTTCTGTAAGATCCTCCTTCATAAACGGTAGACAGCCTACCATGGGGATCCAGACGCGGTGGGGTAAATGTGGCTCAGCTCAGGATGTCACCAATCAATTACAAAGTAGATCAAAGGGGGGTGGGGTGCAGGTTGTGTTTGCTGCAGGCTCAGCACTACCTCCAGCTCCCCCCCGCCCCCGCCCCGGAAGGTCCCTGGCTGCCCAGGTACAGAGCATTTAATGCAGAGGTCGTGACCGAATGTAAGGTAGGTAGGCTGACTTTTAAATCGCAATGTACCATACTTTATCTATCCAAATGATTGCTATTCCTTTCAAAGTAGTCACAGTATTCCTATGATGCCTGCTAATTCTTAAAACATTTTTGATGATCTTTTGGGTTGCCTTTGAAGCTCATGTCATATTAGTAAAAGCATCCTCACTGGTGATAAACTTTTTGCACTCAGAATGGAGTTGATTTTTTTTTTTTCTAAGTGGCAAAAGTCACTTAAAGTCGAGTGTAGTGAGTGGGACAGAGGGGGAGGAGGAGGTGGTCCAACTGGTTTTATAAAATGAGGTGTGACTATTAGGTAATTATTGTGGGTTCTTGGGGTTTATGGTGAGGTTTCTGACCCCAAACTGAAAATGACAGAAACCAGATTTCCTTCCCTTTAAGATTAAATGTTAAAGCCAACATCTCAATGGAACTGATCAGAGACACATAAACTCACCCAGGAAGGGAAAGAATTACTCTCAGGGCTAGTACAGTTTTTCTGTAACGTCATTAAGTATAGTAATCATCCTATGGAAGGGGTGGGGTGAATGGAAGTTGTGTGTGTGGGGGAGGGATAGAAGGGGGAAGCAAATGGGGTCTTAGCCAAGAGGGCTTGGATACTGGGGCCCCAGCGGTAAGGCCTCTTATAGGCCAGACACGGAGGCAGGGGGCTACTTTAGCTGATCATAGGAAATGCTCATCCATGTAACTCTCCTTCTAACGTCGTGCCTTCTAAAGAACTCACCGAAGCCCTACCATGTCCTCAACATGGTGCTGAGCACTCTCCCATACGATCGCCTTGCCATCTAGAATAAGATCCTATCGTTCCTTTGCCAGTGGAGATTTTGAGACTTAGAGATGGCAGGCCGGCAGTCCTTGCTCTCACAGCAAAGCCAGGACTCCAGACAAAGTCAGGCCAGACTCCAGGGCCATGCGCAGCACCCCTCTGCCATCCTGCCCCTGCTGACTCTCCTTCCTGTGGGGGGAGATCAAGGATCACGTGCCCCGAGGGCCCCGTCTGGGTGGGGGCTGTGCCACTCACCGAGGCCAGTACTCTCAGTATGGATTTACACATTGGTACTTTGAACTTGGGTAATGTGGGTCTTCCCCCGAGGATGAAAAGCCATGTTTCTGAGTCTGCAGAGCTTAAGAACCGACTCGACATGCTGAAGAAATCACCCGAGTAATGGATGCCATTCCAGGAGCCTCGTGGAGACAGGCTTTTGGCTTCTCTGTGGTGACAGAGCCCTGTGATTTAGCCTGAACCACAGCCCTGTCTACAGTGGGAAAACGAAATTTCTCGGTGACTCCTCAACTGAGGAACAGCAACACCACTGGATAAATTATCATCTCAAACTAACCCTTTGAAAGGACTGTACCTATCTGAATGCTCATCTTCGGTTAAAAAATGAAAAAGGTCAGTCCCGTTGCTTTACGCGACAGTTATGATGGGTCACATGCACCACTCTCAGTGAAGAAAAGCCTAAATTTATTACGCACAATTTACAAATAGGCAGATAAAGACACTGAAGGGAAAGAGAGCGGATGCAGAAGACGCTGAGGTTACAACTCCTGAATCTCATGCCCTTTGAAAAGCCACACTCTTCCTTCTACTGTCACGATGAGTGGTGACAGCCCGGCGGGGAGCTGCTGATTGCTGGCAGGGAGGGCTCCGCTCCCACTGGCCTGACGGATGTGTAGAGTGAGCGGTTAAGCCACTGTGACATTTGGGGTGGTTTGTCCTCACAGCACAACCTCGCCTATCCTGATTGATTCAGGCACCGTATCAATGACTCTTTAATTCTCTGTATGGCTGGTTTAAAAACCACTTAAGGCATCAGCCCTGTGATTTCCTGATCTTGCAAACGGAGACAATATCCCACCTTGACATGCTAGTGATTAATGAACTACACTGTTCCGAACATTTCTTCAACTCACTTAGAGAAAGTTGCTGGGTAAGCAGAAAGCTTTATGCCATTATGTACTTTCAAGGGATGTTTACAGAATCCTGCTGATTACAGTTTGCTGGTTACTTGTGCTATAAACATTTGTGGGGCTTTGCAGGGACCAGGCTGGGAGTGAGGTCAGAAAGGCAGCTGGTGGCCCAATCAAGTTCTACTGGACACACTGGGCAAGCTGAGTGTGTCTCAGGTTAGAAGCAGCCTGTTCTGGGTCACGGGTGCTGTCCTGGCCCCACGAGGTCAGTACATTTCAGACTAACTTTTTCCCAGCCTGTAATTAACTACGCTCGCTCAGTAGTCTCTCCCTTTTCATTTTCCTTTCTCTTCTCAGATTCTTTTTCCATTTGTCCTCTAAGTTTTTATTCCTCTTTATATTTGACAAATAGAATCTCTTTATAGATGTCCCACTCAAAATGTGCTGCCTGATGGGAGCTGCTCAAGACACTAGCGGGATGGCTTTTCTGGGGCTAACAGAGCTTAGAAACCTGGGTTTTGGTCACATTCTTCAGGGAAAAGGGCAGAGTAGCTCTTTGGCATTGCAATGTGGCCCTACCACCCAGATTTGAGTTCCCCAGGGCTCTCGACTATTCCAGGGGGAAATGTGCTCATTCCCAGCACACACAGGCTTCCAGAATAGACCCTGTTTCATGCCTGGTCTGCCTTCCAAGGTGGGACATGATCAAAAGAACACTTCACACAGAGGGGGGGCTATGAACTGCTCTAGGGATGTCCCCAGGTGATGATCCTTCCAGATGATCACCGTGAGCCGCCTTGGCAGAGCCCAGAGAGAGGAACTGGATGACCAATGGCACCCTGGCTCCTCTCTAGTTTCCCACATGGTATTTTACCATCACTATGAACTTAACACGGCTACATCCCAGACGGATGCTCTTGGACAAAATGTACCACCT